TCCACATCTTTCTTCCGTGTAACTACTACTGGTGGGTTTGAACTGCTGACCTTTCAGTTAGCATCTGAGTGCTTAACCACTGCTTCTCCAGGGCTCCCTAAACACTACCATGAGCAAATGGCAGCCTCTTGACGGTTTGGTTGTTGTTGTTGTTGTTAAGTGCTGCCAAGCCAGTTTCGAGTCACAGCAACCCTATGTAAGATTTCCAAGGAGTGGCTGGTAGATTTGAACCGTTGATCTTGTGGTGTTTACTCATCTCTAAATAGAGGATAATAAATAGTTCCTCTGTGGAAGTTCAGCGTCTAATTAAGATAATTTTGTAAGACATCTAGTGTAATGCTTACCACCTGTTAGACACTCCAGGTATTAGTAATAATATGACATCATCTCTGTTGTCCATCTTTACTGCTGTACCCCACACATTAGAAATGGTGTTATTGTTAAGTGCTGTCAAGTTGGTTCTGACTCATAGAGACCTCGTATAGGGTTTTCAAGAAGTGGCTGGTAGGTTTACAGTCCAGTGCTTACCTATAGCACCACACCAGGACTCTGTATTAGAAATGCTCTTTATATCTTTCTCTTCATGCTTAGTGTGTTCTGTAGCCTAAGAAAGAGATTTGGTTCGTGATCCCACTCTACCACCACCTGGAACAAATTATTCACAATAGGACTGCTTTTATGATAAGGGATTAAATTGGTTATCCCCAAGTCCCTTTCTTGGTTTAAAATCTTAAATAATTGATTTTCTTGACCCTTCTGTAAACACTAGAATGAAAATATTGGTTCGGAATTTCTTAGAGAATGGGCAATTTTGTTGTTGTTGTTAAGTGCCATCGAGTCAGTTTCAACCCTATTTAGCGTTTGTGAGGAGCAGTTGCTAAGTTTGAACCACCAACCTTGCAGCTCAGACCAACCTTGCAGTCGAGTGCGTATAGGATGTTTTCCTGATAGTTATATAAAAAATAATATTGTACAAACTCATATGCTGTAATACCTTGATAAAATACAAATAACTGAAAACATGAGGTCTTTTCCTTTAGCAATCATCCTGTGTGTGTGTGTTTTTAATATAAGAATTTTCAAAAACTTGGTTTTTTCCCCCCTAAATATTTCTTATATTTTTGGATATTGGTATTCTGTTTACAAAAGGGATGATGGTCTTTTGTTATATACATGTGAAGAGATCACATGTATGGGCACATACATGTGAAGAGATCAGCTTGTCTTTTCATTATCATGAAAGTTGCTGCGTGGCCTTGGCTCTATTACATGGACAGTCGTTCAATCAATATTCAATTAATGTCTACTAGTACCTAATAGATAAGGATATAAGGTGATTAAGGTCAGGGGTCTACCTTAAAGTCAGTTCGGAATTGAAGGAAAACTGATATATATAATATATATGTAGGAGTGCTGGTGTGGCATTGTGGGTTCGTGTGCTGGACTACAAAGTCGGTTTGAAACGTAAGGTCAGCATTTCAAGCTCATCACCCACTCCTAGGAAACCCTATACAGGGTCGCTATGGGTTAGAACCGACTCGACGGCACTTAACAATAACAACAACATAACTTACCTTGTTGTTGAGGATATACACAGCAGAACAGACACCAATCCAGTTGTTTTCTTCATGTACAATTCAGCGGCACTGATTCAATTCTTCAAGTTAGTTGTACAATCATTCTTATCTTCTTCTTTGAGATGTCCTTCTCCCATTAATATAAACTCAGTGTCTCCTAAGGTTCCTGTCCAATGTTTCAGTTTGACCCCATAAGTTCCCTAAAGAGCATAATGCCAAAGGCAGATGTTTTTTCCTAGTTAAATTAAAGTAGTTTTAAGACTTCAGGGGATATTTTTGGTCTAAGGTTTAAAGAGAATCTGGGCAGTAGTTTCAAGGGTTCATTCAGCCTCCATGGCTCCAGAAAGGTTGGAATCCATGAGAATTTGGAATTCTGTTCAGTATTTTCCTTCTTTTGATTAAGATTCTAGAGGAAACATAGAACAATGTTATATTTTAAAACCATTGTCAGTAGAAAAAAGGAAAAATAATCCAAATCTGTATCTACAACTTTATTCTCCTGGAGATTTTTCAAATATCCCCAAACTTGAGACTGTTTTGTTTGTTTTATCATAGGAACAAGGGTATGAAATTATTTTACCTTCTTCTACAGAGGTTCATAAGGAGCCCTGGAAGGATAGTGGTTACATGTTAGGCTGCTAACTGCAAGGTCAGCAGTTTAAATCCACCAGCCACTCCATGGGAGAAAGATGAGGGTTTCTGCTCCCATAAAGATTTCCTGCCTTGGAAACGCTACACAGGGTCCCACAGAGGTTCATGAACTTGAAATCTGTAGACGGGCTTCAGCAGGTCTGAACAAATCACCCTTCCCATCCCCCTACCCTACCACCAATCTCACACCTCCCAAACCTGCCCTCCTCAGGGAATTTTACATAAAATGAGTACACTTTTTTTTTTTTTTTTCTGAGAGGGTACCCACAGTTTTCTTTAGATTCTCAAAAGAGGAATTTTACCCAGACACAAATACAGAACCATACTGCCTTACAACCTTTTGGGAGGGCAGGTTTTTCCTTGGTTACTATGGTGGTGATGGTGGTGGTGGTGTGCCGTGGAGTCAGTTCCGACTCATAAAGACCCTGTCTAGTAGGGTTTCCGAGGCTGTAAATCTTTATGGGAGCAGAAAACTTCATCTTTCTCCCACAGAACCTCTGGTAGCTTTTAACTGCTGACCTTGAGGTTAGCAACCCGATTTGTAGCCACTACACTACCAGAGCTCCTTAGTCATTATGGTGTGTGTGCATATTTTATTGGATTATGCTGTTTTACATATTCTGTTATTGTCTTTTCAGTGAAAGTTTATATAGCAAATTAGGTTCCTATTTAGTACTGTCTCCACAATTCGTCAGTATGGGCTCGATGGCACCTAACAACAACAAAACAACACAATTTGTTCAGTGATATTGGTTACAATTTTCAGTATGTCAACTTTCTCACTTTCACATTACCCCCTTTCTGCTTGCTCTATGTCGAGTAATCTAGTTTCCATGTCCTCTTGCCTTCTCGTCTTTGCTTTTGAGTAATTTTTTAAAAAAATGTTAAACTCAGTAGTGGCAGCTGGGCACCATGCAGTTCTTCTGGTTTCACGGTAGATGAGGTTGTGGTAGACCATGGGTGGGGAACCATTTTTCTGCCAAGGGCCATTGTATTTATAACATCATTCGCGGGCCATCCAAAATTGTCAACCTAAAAATTAGCCTGCTGTATTTTTGGTCAAACATTTAATTAACTCATTCCTAAAGGAGCTCTGGTAGCATAGTGGTTATGAATCGGGCTGTGAACCTCAAGGTCAGCAGTTCGAAACTACTAGCTGCTCCGCTGGAGAAAGAGGTGGCTTTCTGCTCCCGTAAAGATTTACAGCCTCGGAAACCCTGTACAGGGTTGCTATGGGTCGGAACCGTCTTGACGGCACTTAACAACAATGTGATGGCTGGAACTGTGGTTGCCTTGGCAGAGCCAGAACAAATGATTTAGACAGGCTTATACAGTCTATGTAGTGGTTATGAATCGGGCTGCGAACCGCAAGGTCAGAAGTTCAAAACTACCAGCTGCTCCACCGGAGAAAGAGGTGGCTTTCTGCTCCCGTAAAGATTTACAGCCTCGGAAACCCTGTTCAGGGTCGCTATGGGTCGGGACCGACTTGACGGCACTTCACAACACCAACAGTACAGCCTGTGTACGAGTTGGAGGATCGCCACCCCGGTATGGACATATTGTGGACGACTTTCTTCTTGGAGTCCTTGGTTTCCTTCCTTCTCTTTTATTCCAGAAGCATAGAGACCAGTAGTAGAATCTTAGAGGGTTGTTGTTGGTGGTGGTGCGCTGTGGAGTCGGTTCTGACTCATAGCGACCCTGTACAGCGTTTCTGAGGCTGTAAATCTTTATGGGAGCAGAAAGCCTCATCTTTCTCCCGTGGAACAGCTGGTAGTTTTGAACTGCTGACCTTGCGGTTAGTCATCAGACTCACAACCAGGGATGCTTGCAAGCTTTTAAGATTCTAGATGCTACCCAGCAAACCGGGAGGTAGCAGATACACTTCTTGTACTATGTCATGTCAACTGACTAAGTTGTCCTATGAGAACTATGAAGGTCTTAGAGTCCTGGTATGGCACCGCAGGACAATACTGGACCTCAAAGTCAGCTTGAACCTTAAGGTCGGTGGTTCAAACCCACCAGCTGCTCCTCAAAACCTTATATAGGTCACTAAGCCAGAACTGACTTGATGGCACTTACAAAACAACAACAACAACACCAAGGCTTCCAATCCTGTAAACCAATCCCATGAGGTATTTGGTTACGTCTAAGAAGCACCAAGGTCAGCAGTTCAAAACTACCCGCTGTTCCATTGGAGAAAGATGAGGCTTTCTGCTCCCATAAAGATTCACAGCCTTGGAAACCCTGTACAGGGTTGCTATGAGTTGGAACTGACTCCACGGCACATAACCAACCAACCAACCAACCAAGAAGTACCGATGTTTGGGTCCCTATGTGTTTTATTGTATATGTGAATATATATGGATATGGGAGTGCTATGGCTATGTTGGATAACCACAAGGTTGGCAGTTCAAATCCACCAACTACAGCCTAAGAAATGCTGTATCGGATCACTATGAGTCTGAACTGACTCGACAACACACAATAACCACTACCACAACAGGGCTGCAAGACATTCTATCCAAATCCTTCCTTTTCGTACGTTCCAACTCAGCACATGAGAGACAAACACCTCCAAATTAAATGGCCATTCCAAAGCAAATTTAGCCTTGGATTCAGGATCAGTAGGGCTGCCTGGGCGTGTGACAGACCAACCATAAAAGTCAGAGTTTGTACCAGACAGCCCTGAATTCAAATCCCAGCTTCTCCACCCTTCAGAGACCCCTTAAAGGGATACCTCTAAGCTGTGCATCCTTATCTGTAAGTAGGGGCATGGCTGCCCCCACCAGCCCCGTGTGGGGCTTGAAGGTGAGGAGGCAGGCAGGCTTCCTGGTACCTTGGAAGTGATCAGTCGGTGTCCCCATCACCATGATGTGGGTAGCTCAGGACTGTGTTAGGCAGGGTAGAGACACACAGATCGAGTGTGACAGGGAGACCTGGGCCGTGTCCCCAGGAGCTCCGCTGCTCACCTGGGCTGTGTGGAAACATACCTGCTGAACCCTCTTGGTGGCCTGTGTAACAATGGAAGCTGTCCAACAATCAGTGGCTGTTTTTGCCCAAAGAAGAGTCACGTCCCCAGTGCTTCCTGCAGGGTCACATGTCACCCCTATTCATATTAGGCAATTGGTTTGGGGGTCTCCCAGGGGGACCTGCATCAGGTTATAGAGGGCCAGGTGCAACTGGTTGTCACAGGCATGGCCAGCAGGTCCTTTTGGATCATGACACCAGGGCCCTTGACTGCCCCAGATCACCTGGACAATAAGCAACAGGAGTGGACTCAAACTTGCATCGTCTACCTGGAGCTGGAGCCCCAAGGGGTCAGGGTAGGAGGGACCCCATGAGGAGGGGAACTCTCTTCCCAGGGGTCCAGGGGAGGCAGCCCTACGAGGAGGGGAGGCAGCATGAGGTGTCCTTCTGTGAATGCCCAGTGTCCACCTTTAATGTTCTCCTTCAGACGCCAATACCCTGGCTGCCTCTGCTTCACAGCACTGGCTCAAGAAGAGGACTTTGTGGTCACTTGCCCAGGGACTGAGGTGTGTGGGTAGGATAGAGACCCTTTCTTCAGGACTTCTCATTTCATGGTAAAACAAAAAAACAAAAACAAAAAATACCCCAAAACACCATTTATTTAAAACCAAAAGTCCAGTCACCATACCTAATCAACAACTGGGAAATGCATTAGAAGCACCAACAGGACCACTGTGGCATTCCCCTGGGGCTCCTGTGGGTGGGTGTTGATGAGTCTACACAAGGCAGGGCAGCCCTGGAGGGGCTGGTGCACTGCAGGCTACCCAGGTTTCTCCAGGGCAGGTGTTGTGTACTCTTATCTCCAGAGTTCTCACGGCACACTTCCAAAGCTTGGGAGGATGATGAAGGTTGCAGCTGCCTCATCCTCTGATATTTTGGAAATGAACAGCGGCTGCTAAGCAGAATCTTCTGGTGGTGGGTCTTGTGGGGGTACAAGGATGTTGCTACCAAGGAATGACTGAGTCAGATAAGGCCGACCAAGGTTACCCAATAGCTTCCGTGAGCTGACCATTCCTGGTGACCTAAGTGGGCCAGGCAGTTCTCACCCGCTTATAACTTTTTCCTCACTCACCCAAAGCCCAGGCAATCCAGTGACAGGGGCTGGGCCCAGACTATCCTGATGATAGAATTGAGTTCTGGAGAAACTATAGGGGCAGGGGGCACACCTTCCAGAAACTTCTGCAGTCTAGAGAAGAATCAACCTTAGGTAGCCTGATGGGGTGTTGGGCAGACGTTGGGGTCCACTTGGGCTCTAGTGAATGATAGATGCGTGTAGACTGGCCCCAGGGCCAGGGAAAGATCTAGAATGTGTAATGGGCCTGTGGGCCAGGCACACCACACATCTAAGCAGGTGAAACAAGGATGGAGTTTTTGGAAAATTTCCCTGAATGCTGAGGAATTTTCAAAAGCCACCGTGGGCATGTGGACTTTCTGGGTGCTGTGGTCCAGTGCTGTTTTCAGGAAGTGTCAGGCAGAAGTGGTGGCATTGAGGAGTGACCTGGGTTGGGAAAAGTGGTAGGTAGCTGACGCCACTGTAGTTCTGTGGGTGCTGTGACCCAGAAACAAAGGGTTGAATACGCAGGGCCAGAGGGAAGCTGCCTGAGACTTCACTGGAGTCGAGCTGGCTGTGGGAAGGGGGTCGTCACAGGCGAGGCAGTTCAGCATATACCCACCCAACTTGCCTTCACAGCTTCCCACACGATTCTGAGCACCTTAGGGTGATGCTAGAATTCTCTAAACTTCTCCATGTGTACAGAGTGGAATTGCTTAATAGGATTTGTATTGACTGATTTTTTTTTTTTTTGAAAGTAGATGGTCAGGTCTTTGTTCTGAGTATGTTAGACCCGCCAACCTTTGGGCTAGTCATTGAGAGTCTGACCATTTGAGCCACCGGGGCACTCCCAGACTTCCCAATGCATCTGAATACAGCCTTGTCCATAGGCTATGCTTAGTCACACTCCCTCAGGTATTCAGAACTGCTGACGTGGTATGTACCTGTTGTTTCCTGGCTCATCTGGGGCAGCTTTAGGGCATCAAGGAGCAGGAAGGCAGGGAGGCTCCACCTCTCAGTCCCTGGTAGCCTGCAGTGAGGTGCCGGGCCTCCATCAGCACTGCTGTCACCTCTGCTGAGCCTGGTGAGTGGTGAGGGGAGGTGACTTTCACGCTGGTGACCAAGACACATTCTACTTATTGGTGTGAACAGTGGAGAGCTGGGTCCCCTCTGCTGTACGTTGCCATGCACTGATATGCCAGACAGCCACCAAGTGCCCAAGCACCTGTGTCTGAGCCACACAGGTGCTCCCCAGTCTCTGAACCGCCTCATCCCCGTGACCATCACCAAGTGACTGTCTGTCTCCAGAAAATCCTGCCCAGGAGGGCAGCGTAGGATGTGTCACCTTCTGTCTTATGTAAGCCTCCTTGGTCAACTGTAACAAAATGCACCAATCACACACAGCCTACCTCATAGCTTCGGCTCTCCTGCCCTCTGGAGCTCCCCACATGTTCCATCCAGGGTTTGGGTCTGGTGAAATGGGCTCCACCTGGCTCTGTACCTCAATTTCCTCCACCTATAAGTGCAGGTATGGCAGCTTCCCCTGCCTAACAGAATTGATCCCTAACAGGAATCTCAAGTAAAGGAGTCTAAGGCTCAGCCAGCACCCCTCCCAGTAATGGAGGTGGAATGCCGACCCTCCCAGGAAAACCCAGAGCAGTTCAGGAAGGTGAAGTGAGGCTCAGGCAGAGGTGGGGTTTCCTCTAACCCTTTTTGGGTTTGGGACCAGGCCTCTGGGTGCAGCCTCTTGGAAGTCTGAGGGAGCCCTGCAGACACTGTTTGGAGACTCGGCTGTCTCTGAGGTCGGCTGTAGGTGCCAATGTAAAGCAAGATGAGGACTTTGTGGGATCAGAGTGCCTTTAGGGACACATAGGCCACTCTGGGTTTCTTGTGGGGAGTCAGTGTGTGCTCTGGTATGTTGGGAACAGCGTCACATCATTGACCACTTCTTCTGGCCCATGATTTTAGATATTATGGTTCTTATCTTGTCAGTTTGGAGTCCTGGTGTGGTGCTGTGGGTTAATGCGCCAGACTACAAAGTCATTTGAACTGAAAGGTCTGCGGTTCAAATTCACCAGGTGCTCCTTGGAAACCCTATAGAGGGTCACTATGGGTCGGAATCGACTCAATGGCACTCAACAACAACACAAATCCTCTCAGTCTGGGCCTTGCTACAGTCACCAAACAGTGCACCGCTCCCTACTCCCCACTGTCTCTTTCTCTAACCCTTCCTTTCTGCCTCCCTCTCCCTGTCTGTTACTCTCACTATCTCTTTTGTTGTCTCTTCTTCCCTCCCTCTATCTGTCCCCCTCTGTCCTCCCCCATTCTCTCCCTACTTTACCAATGGCCCCAAGGCCCTCTGTGTGGCTGGTTCCTACCTTTCTAGGAAGCTTCCAGCACCTCTGTTTCTTCCTGGCCTCGGACAGGTTACTTAGGTGCCGGGCCCTCTGGGATGCTCCCCTGCCTCCCCTTGGCAGGTTCCCAAGCCCCATTGACCCCTTTACTGAGAAAGAATGAGGTCATGGGGGAGGGGGAAGGCCCGTGTGCAGAGGGGAGAGGGTCTGTTTTTAGAATGCACACCTCCTGGCTGAGGCTGAAACCACCTTACAGAGACCCCAACTTCCCTTCCCACCTGCCCACTTCCTCTTCTGGCAGCAGGTGACCCACCCCCATCCAGTGGGGACCTCAGGCCTGGGCTGCTTTGGGTTTCACAGTACCTCTGCTATCCGCACATTGAGGGTTTGAGGCCACAGGGGTCTCCTAGACCAGTAAAGGAGGGCTGAGCACAGGGCTGGGAAGGCCCCCTGGAAGTTTCTGGAACAGTCAGCTTACCTCGGTGAGTAGACAGTTTCTCTTTCATGTAAGATCAGCAGGGTGGGCTTTCATTTTCCTCAGTTTCCCCTGTGCGGGATTTGGGGAAATCGACACTTTCCTAGAGCAGTCAGTGGGGAAGTCTGCTTGTTTCAGCGCTGGCTACCTGTTGGAGCCCATAGTTCAGGGGCCTCTGAATTTACCTCCCCTGGGAACGGCTTACATACTGTTTGTCTCTTGTAAGGCCAAGGTCAATAACAGACCCTCCTTCTGCTGCCCTGTGCACCTCCCCCCTCCCCCCAATCCAGGCCCACTCATCAGTTCCCCTACTTCCCCCTGGATCCTGCTGTTCCACAGTCCATGTGGGCTGTGCCAGGGGATGCCACCCACCTGCTGGGTGAAGTAACCAAAGCCTGTTGACATTGAGCGGGTTGTGACTCCGTGGTGACCCCATGTATGAAACAGTAGACCTGCTCCATAGCATTTTCTAGACTGGCATCTTTGTAGAAATAGATGGCCACGTCTTTCTTTTGTGGTACTGCTGAGTGGATCCAAACCTCTAAACATTAAGTTAGTGGCTGAGAGCAAACTGTTTGTGGCACCCAGGGATCTTTTGAAGGAAGCAAAGGGCCCATAATGTAAAAGCATGTCATAGGAGTTGGCCAGGAGATTGCCTGGGACCAACAAAGGGCTTCTCACCTGGCGAGCAGACCAGACAGGAAGAACTGTGAGTCACTGGGATACCTTCATCATTGATGGAGACCCATTAGAACATCCTGGGCCCAGCAGGCTTGGGGGTAGAGGCACTTGGTTGCCCTTTTCCCAGGGGGCAAGTAGGACTTGAGGACAGCCTTAGCCATTCCTCATGTAGAAGGAGCGGGGGAATCGGTACGCTTCTTTCTATTCTCTCTCTTCCCAAGAGCCCTGTCATTCAGGGAGCAAACTACATCAATGTACAATGTCACCCCCAGCCAACCTTCACTGTACTGGGGGCTTCCTTCTGTCGCCTGCCTCCCTCCCTTGTCTCCCACTCTCTGACTTGGTTCTTTTCTCCCTCCCAGATGTTCTGCTGAGGGGTGCAGCCAGAGGTGTCCTCTCTTTCCCTGCATAGGAGTGAGCCCTAGCTTGAGGGTGGAGGGTCAGGATCCCGCCTGCTCTGTAACATGGCTCTCCGTTCAGTGGAAAGGGTCCGTGGGCAGGCCTGGTGATGGGACCACCTGTAGGGCTGGGATGCAGGTGGTTGTTGTTAGTTGGTGACCCCCATGCACTACAGAAGAAAACACTGTACCATTGTTCTACCCTCGTGACCACCACTGTCCCCAAGCCCAGTGTTACCACTATTGTGGATGCTGAGCGCCTTCCAGCCTCGAGATCCCATCTTTCACAGTGTCTCCGAGGAAGTTGGTCTCTTGTCACATGTTTCTGCCAATGCAG